TTGGCACAACCGCACGCGCGCGCGTCATCGTCAAAGTCTAAGTCTAAGTCGCGCGCGTGGTAGTTTTGCCCAATTTTTAGGCAAAATTCCACGCCGCGGACGGTCGGTGACCACGTCCGGACCGTACGGCCAGGCCGGGCACCGCCCAAAATTTGATCCTCGACCAAAAGAAATTAGCCTCGCCGATTGGAAATTCCAAATCTGCCGAATTTTGCGGGAAGGCCTCAATTTTGCATCCGTTTTCCCCCACGCGACGTACCGCGGCCTCGTCGGGGCCTCCCGTTTGGCCTGCCCGGGCACCACAAAATTCATCCAAATTTTTAATTTCAATCGAAGAAAATTAGATTCTCCGATGAAAATTTCAAATTCTGGTTGAATTTTGTGCCCGAGGCCTCACTTTTGCATCCGTTTTCCCCCTCGCGACGTACCGCGGCCTTGTCGGGGCCTCCCGTTTGGCCTGCCCGGGCACCACAAAATTCATCCAAATTTTTATTTACAATCGAAGAAAATTTGATTCTCCGATGAAAATTTCAAATTTTGGTTGCATTTTGTGCCCGAGGCCTCACTTTTGCATCCGTTTTCCCCCTCGCGACGAACCGCGGCCTCGCCGTGGCCTCCCGTTTGGCCTGCCCGGGCACCACAAAATTCATCCAAATTTTTATTTTCAATCGAAGAAAATTTGATTCTCCGATGAAAATTTCAAATTTTGGTGTCATTTTGTGCAAGAGATGCATCGTTTCCGCGTTAGAACTGCCCGGGGCGCCCACGGAATGCCCCCACAAAACCTGCCCACGCCCAGGATGGCCTGGCCTGGCCTGCCCATGGCCTGCCCAGGCCAGCCAAGTGCTCCCCCTATATATGTTTGAACAGCAAACCCTGCTCTAGCAGCAAAACGGTCCCTTTTTCCCTGTAGACATAAGTCCCCTTTTTTATGACTTAGACTTCGAATTTTTTCATGATTTTTTACATGCTTGTTAAACACAATATAAGCATCCCTCCCACAAAAAATTTGAATTTTTCGACGAAGTATGAATTAATTATGATTTTTCTAAGCGCCGATTTTTTGCAAAACGGAAGCGGCGGAAACCTTGGCCAAGGAATCGAATTTTGAGCCTATTTTTTTCACGGACCTCCCTCATAACATATAGAAAGTATCTGGAAAGTTTCGTAGCATTTCGAAGAGTCCTCGATTAAATTTGAATTTTCGACCGAAACGGGCATAAACGCGTCGGCCCTTCCAAAACGGAAGCGGCGGAAACCTTGGCCTAGGAACCGAGTTTTGAGCCGATTTTTTGCAGGGACTTCCCTCATAACATATAGAAAGGATCTGGAAAGTTTCGTAGCATTTTGAACAGTCCTCGATTTAATTTGAATTTTCGACCGAAACGGGCATAAACGCGTCGGCCCTTCCAAAACGGAAACGACGGAAACCTTGGCCTAGGAATCGAATTTTGAGCCGATTTTTTTCACGGACCTCCCTCATAACATATAGAAAGGATATGGAAAGTTTCGTAGCATTTCGAAGAGTCCTCGATTAAATTTGAATTTTCGACCGAAAAGGGCATAAACGCGCCAGCCCTTCCAAAACGGAAGCGGCGGAAACCTTGGCCTAGGAACCGAGTTTTGAGCCGATTTTTTGCATGGGACTACCTCATAACATATAGAAGGGATCTGCAAAGTTTCGTAGCATTTCGAGAAATACTCGATTTAGTTTGATTTTTCGGCCGAAACGGGCATAAACGCGCCGACCCTTCCAATACGGAAGAGACAGAAACCTTGGCCTAGGAATCGAATTTTGAGCCGATTTTTTTCACGGACCTCCCTCATAACATACATAAGGGATCTGGAAAGTTTCGTAGCATTTCGAAGAGTCCTCGATTAAATTTGAATTTTCGACCGAAACGGGCATAAACGAGAGGCGTCCATAACGTGAGCGGCGAAAACTTGGGCCTACGCAACGAATTTAGAGCCGATATTTTGCAAGGACTTCCCTCATAACATATGGAAGAGATCTGCAAAGTTTCGTGCGGCAAAACCGTGACGCCCAACCCCGTCGGGGCCTCCTTTCAAGGGGCAACGTGAGCGACGGAAACTTGGGCCGCTCGACACTATTGTACATGCAACTAGACACGTCAACCGTGAGGAGACGAGAGAGAAAATGGCAAAGACCTGGGAGCGAGGAGGTTTCACGCACACTTTGTCACTTTGAAAATTTTCCAAGTAAAAAAATTTCGCCTGTAACCCTTTCTCATGCTATTATGGGAGGCAGGCAACACTCGGGTTGGGAGGGACGAATCGAAGCGACAAGGGCTGAATCTCAGTGGATCGTGGCAGCAAGGCCACTCTGCCACTTACAATACCCCGTCGCGTATTTAAGTCGTCTGCAAAGGATTCTACCCGCCGCTCAATAGGAATTGCGTTTCAAAGTGTCCCGCAAGGCTCATCCACCTTACGGGGTACACCAACGGCACGTGCCTCTGGGGGACCAAGGCCCCCTACT